GAATCTGGTAAATCTTAGTTGTGATTTAATAATAATTATAATATTATTATCTTCTTGATAATAGGTACAGGACAGTAATTGAAAAAGTACTGAGCATATAGCAAGAATTTAATAATTCTGTTATAATTTTATAATAATTATTGTTAGAATAATAGTAATCTCCTCAAAGATGCATTTTGCTATTACTACTCTTCTTACTACCACGTAGAGAAGACTATGAAAGAACTCTGATGATTTAAGCTTTGAGGGTGTCAGTTAAGGAGTGGTTGGTTGTTTTATCCAGAACCTTCTCACACACATCGTTTTCACTTGCTGATGAGGCAGCTAAAGAATGAAAGAAATGTGTAGGATTGGCCTCTCACGTCATATTACACTCTCCGGACTGTTAGCCTAGATGAGGTAACCCAACAGCTGTCAGAAACTGTTGCATAGGTCTTATTCCTGACTCACAATTGCTCTTCATCTCCTGGGATAAGATGCTAAATCTTTAGGAGATTTGGTTTCCTCAGTGAAGAGGAAACTTCTCGATCCACACCCACTCCATCCCTGCAGAGAAGGGAGGCTACACTTTATCCCATGACTCATCTGATTTCCTAGAAGATTCCCTCTGCTCCAAGGGCTCAGTGGAAATGACAGTGGTATGGATAAAGGAAGGAATCTTCATACATTACCCACATCGCTGGCATCATAATACAGAAAAATGGACTGCATGTTTAGAGCTAGGGTGCTCACTCTGCTAGGAATTTTAGGAAATGAAAGCAGGTCCTAAGGTTTAAAACCAAGAGGCCTATTCTGCTTCATATATTTCCATTTATTAATCTCTCAGCAAGCTCAGAATGGATTTAAAAGACTTTAAAAATATTTTTACAGCATGACATCGAGTGTAACTTTAAATCTTCACACAAAAGAAATATTCAGAAATCTAGCATTGACTGGGAAGTTGAAGGATCAGTACAATAATCGAAAAGAACACACTATTGTACTAGCATCCTTTCCATGTTTCTAAAGGACAAGAAAGCAATGATCAACACCAGCCAGACCTATTAAATACGGTTCATGAAATCATGGGAAACGTCTTCTTGATCTAGCATCCTGGGGCCTTCAGCTAGCCCCTCGTTCCTCAAGTTTTAATAAGAATTTACTACAGGCTCATCATCATGTTTGGAGATAAAATACAAGTCGAGAACAGACTGTGCCCTTGTAAGTTGGGAGTAAGGGTCAAGGAAAGGAGGAAGAGAGAAAGAAGGTGGAATTTCAGGGGAAGACACATGGAATCGGAGGAGGACCAGAGGCGGAGTGGGGAGGCTGGTGGGGAGCACAGGGAATCTGTAACGCAGAATTCCTGTGGCAAATAGAGCACACATGTGGTTTGGCCTTATTTCTAGGCAGGCATAAGGGACCGTCATAGGGGTCTGAAATGAACGTATGTAAAAATCTTTCTCTCTGATAGATACCGGACACGAGAAGTTTCCAGTGACTGGAGGTGACACAATTTCCTTGGTGAAGGAGAGAACACCTATGCTCTGGGCTACCCTATGCTTCAGAACCACTGACCATAAACACACATGAAATGAAGTGGAGACAATATTGCTTACATGATTCAAACAACAACAAAAAACCCCCACCCGCTTACACATCAAAGATTTTGATATCAGCATAAACTCCAGCTCTTCCTCTCCCTAGCTATATACTCTTTTTTTTTTTTAAGATCTTTATTGGGGTTTAATTGCTTTACAATGGTGTGTTAGTTTCTGCTTTATAACAAAGTGAATCAGTTATACACATACATATGTTCCCATATCTCTTCCCTCTTGCGTCTCCCTAGCTATATACTCTTAAGCAAGTTAACTCACCTCAGCGAGCCTCAGTTGCCTTTTCTGTCACATGGGAACCATAACACCATCTTTGCAGGGCTGTGGGGATTACATTTGATAGGTGTGAAGCACTATCATGGCTCTTGGCAGATAAGAGGAAATCAATAAAAGATAGTTTTTATGATGATGGTGATCATGATGATGTTAAAGAATCAAGATTTAGTGTCTCTGGACCAGTTTTCTCTGCTGTAAAACCAGAGAGTGGGACCAGATTTCCAAGTGTACTTACAGTTCTAATCTTTTGTGATTTCACTTTTTCTTGTATGGTTTGAGAACTGCCTTTTCCTTTTTCTTTTTTTTTTTTTTCTATATGAGTCACGAGTAACCCAGGTCTAAGGTGCATTGCTTTTGGACACCAGAATACTGGCGCAGTGGTTCTCCCAGGCACCCCGGGTCATGCCATATCCCTGAGATCTTGGCCTTGTCTTAGTGTAGTGTATCCTGATACCGCTCAGCTTCAGGATTACTAATTGGTTTTTTCAGCTTTTCTGTCCTTTCTTTCTTTTTTTTTTTTTTTTTAAGTCTTTTCTTCCAGGGCAGGGATGGAAGGGGCCATCCCTTTTTATGTAAGGGGCCAAGTACTAAATATTTTAGGCTTTACAGGCTACACAGTCTTGGTCACAGCTACCCAACTCTGTCTTTTCGCACAAAAGTAACCCTTGACAATACATGAACAAATAGGTATGGCTGGGTTCCAACAAAACTATTTATGGGCACTGAATGTGAATTTCACATAATTTTCACGAGTCGTGGAATATTACTACTCTTTTGATTTTTTTCAGTCAAATAAAAACATAAAACCCATTCTTAATTCACAGGCCGTACAAAACAAATAGCAGATAAGATTTGGCCCACAGGCTATAGTTTCCAGCCCATTTTCTAGTGAAAGCTCCAAAAAAGAGATTTTCATCCCTTTCTCAAAGTCTTTCTGGAGAGCCCTTTGCTTGGTTCACGCCTGCCCACTCTTTCCTGCTGGGAGGGCTCCAGTGTCCTCTGGCGACCCCAAGGCCATCTCACACACCACCACCGTGAAGTAAGAACAAGCCCACTTACCACATGATCATGATCACTAGCTTCATTACAATCTCATTCAAAATGTTGAAGAATTCCACCATCAGCTTGGCCTGCTCGCCCATCTTCCCCATGGCAATGCCAAAAGCAATGAAAAACCCTATCAGACCTGTTGGGTGAATCACAGGACACAGAAGGACAAATTACAAAGTATGTGTTTCTTCTCCCTTGTTCATTACTATCCCCCGTGTATGGAGCCACATTCTTACCATCTGTTACCCTATGAATTAGGCGTTAAAAGACAAAAGCATTACGTTTCACACTTTTCCCCTGGATAATTATGACTTTCCTGAATACTTTCCACATGAGCAAGTTGAGCTGTAAGCAGGTTAGTTCCTTGCAGAAAAGGAATTCATTTTCATTCCAAACTAAAAAGTACTCTCTTCTCTCTCCTCCTCACTTTTGAAATCATGTAGAAGCAGATTCCATTAGTACATAGATTAAAGAAGGAAGGCTTGTTGGGACTTGGGGATTATCATGCAAACTTTGGAGCCAATATTAGAATAGCAGAGACCAATTAGCCAATTCAGTCTCTGCCAGGGTTATGTCTGTATTAGTTTGGTGTTATCCCAAGTTAATGCATGGCTGGTATGTTTCACTCTAGGAAAATCCTAAACATAAAATATTTTTCCTGTTGCTGTGTGCCTAATTGGAGAAGGAGGAAGAATCTCGAAAAATCCAAGGGAAAAGCAATGAAAAATCCCAAACAGTTGGGAAACCCTAAATGACCCAATTTGTTTGGATTTAACCTGTTATTTATTAATTCATCATCACTGTTTCCATGGTCAAAATGGTTAGAACGCTTTCTTTTTTATTGTGGTTTTTGTTTCAGGATCATAAAGTGAGAACATAGCCTTTGTTACTTCCTAGCCCCTTGGCCCTGCTCTCCCTTCATCTGATATCACTTGACTTCCATCTAAATGCAGCCCCCCTCCCCCCAGCCCCCAGGCTCAATCTGATCCCCGGCCAGGAGGATTTGAGGAACCCTGTCCCCACCTCTTGATGCTGGCATCAAATTGCACTAGGTCCTGGACCAAGCCCAACAGCCAACCTTGGGTCTTATTTCTATGTTACCTTTTACCTCATTCCCTGAGTATCTGTCCAGGGAACCTGCCTGGTACGTTAGCTCCTCCAAGGCAAGACCTGGCTTCTCTCTCCCCACAGTGTTTTCTCTGGCTCCACTCTGTCCCACCCCTCTTCCTCAGCCTCTTACCCTGGAGTCTCACCCAGACCCTCCCAGGGACTGGGGCACACTACATGGCTAACGGATGTCCCTGTTACTGCCTGAAGGCTCTCCGGATTTCTGATAACCAGTCATCATGCACCCCCCCGCAGCTCCCAATCTGTTATTGCCAATCTTGGGGCTCCAACTCTGAAGACTTGCATGGACTATAAATCAATGTCATTGTCCCCTTGGCAACAGGCCCTTGCTTGTCCATCTGACTTCTTCTCTGACCTGCAGTATGGGCCATCCACTCTTCCCTCTCTCTCCCTCCTGTCCTTACACCTACCCTGTCCCAGTTTGGCAGACTTCATTTCCGGTCCCTCCCTATTCCATCCAATTTCCTATTGCGTCCGTCCTTTTATGCCTGCAGTCTTGAGCTGGATCAAAGTAAATGATAGCATTACAATATGATTCTCTTAGGGGAAAATTCTTTCTAAACCTCTGCTTTTACCTTTTCTCTGGTCACCAAAACCACTCATCTCCCACACCAAGCACACGTCAACCCAGACTGTTCAACTACCCTTTGCTACCCTCAGCAAAAAGAATCTAGCACTTGCACTGAAATTGTTAATCCTTGGTAGTTAATATTTCCCCTTTTTAGCTCTTGGCCAGAAAGATTAACTAGTGACTTACAAGTGAGTTATTGGCCATAAACACAAAGGCTTAATGAGAATTAGCGTGACCTAGAATCAGAGTGACAGGAGAGAGTGACCTAGTTCTGTGGTAATGGAGGAAATCAAATTCAGGCTCTCGTCAAGCCCATGGAGAGGAGTTTGCTAGGTGTGTGGTGAGCAATAATCTGTGAACATTCTGGCTGAGAATAGCTAGTATCACTTGATTAATTCCATTTGGAAATTTTAAGAGAAAATGTTCAAGGTCTCAAGGTCCCCAAGAACTAGAATAAAATAGCTTCCCTGGCAGGGTCACCAGAAACGGGCCATCTCTATGAGTGTAAGAGAGAGATGTTGAAAGGAGCTGTCTCTCACAGGAGTTGATTTAAGTGGTTGGGATTGAAGTGGAGCCCGGAGCAGTCTGGAGGTTTGGCGGGTAAAGAAATGAGTCTTTAAAGAAGTGGGGGGCCAGAGCCAGGATTTTCATCTTCACTCTTGCAATGCTTGATCCTTGGGACTTTCCAAAGCCGAAAAACAAACCAAAACCAAAAAAAAAAAAAAAAAAAAAAAAAAAAAGGCCACCATCTCTGCCCTTGGAAGATAATGGAAAGAACCTTATTTCAGCCATGATTTGTAAATGGGAAGTTTCTCAAGAGTCTAACTTCCCTTAGCTTTCCAGAGCCTCAATTTGCACTTGGAAACCCACAGCCAGCTTGTGCATTTCCCTCTGTAAACACTGCCTCATTGAAGTCGCTGGAACAGGGGTGTTTCATTTGAACAAAGCCCTCTTAGTCTTGGTCACTGGGGTTGAGAGAGTCGTGAATTGTGTTGAAACTCCCTGGTACAGCCAAAGGTCATGTGACTTCCCAGAATCCACCAGAACTTTGGAAATGACCACAAAAGTCTTCTGAATGATTCACCCCAAAGCTCTGGCCCCATTACTCATGGCCACAGTAGGAAAGA